TTTGTAAAATATATGGTCCTTTCTCGTCTGTATCTACTTCTTCTTCCGGTTCAACTTCTAAGGGTTCTGGCCGATTAGGTCGATCATATAGTTCTGTAATATAATTTTCCCAAATTCTCTCTGCATGATGACATAAAATTGCACATATATATCTCTTTTCTCACCTCTTAGTGATGAATTTGATTTTTAATGAAATAATTATTATTATTACTATTGTTATGAGGGAAGAAGTGTACAACATTCTGATACAGTTTGGGATACCCATAAAACCAGTTAAGTTGATTAAAGTGTCTTTAAACGAAACGTATAGTAAAGTCCGTGTAGGCAAATATTTGGCTTATAAATTTCCTATCCAGAATGGTCTAAAACAAGGAGATTGTTTATCGCCACTCCTTTTCAACTTTGCTTTAGAATATGCCATTACGAAGGTCCAGGGAAACCAGGTGGGACTGAAATTAAACGGGACACATCAGCTGTTGGTCTATGCCGATGATGTGAATGTACTGGGTGATAATGTAGATACCGTAAAGAAAAACGCACAAACTTTAATTGACGCAAGTAAAGAGGTTGGTCTAGAAGTAAACATTGAGAAAACTATGTATGTTTCTGTCTCGTCACCAAAATGCAGGACAAAATCATGATATAAAAGATAGAAAACAAATATTTTGAAAATGTGGCACAATTCAGATATTTGGGAACAACGATAACAGATCGAAACCTGATTCAGAAGGAAATTAAAAGGAGATTGAACAGGGGTAATACTTGCTACCATTCAGTTCAGAACCTTTTGTCTTCTCGTCTGCTGTCCAAAAACATAAAAATTAGAATGTACAAAACTATAATTTTGCCTGTGGTTCTGTATGGGTGTGCAACTTGGTCTCTGACATTAAAGGAGGAACATAGACTGAGGGTGTTTGAGAACAGGGTGTTGAGGAAAATATTTGGACGGAAGAGAGATGAATTAACAAGAGAATGGAGAAAACTGCATAATGAGGAGCTTCGTAACTTTTATTCTTCTCCGAGTATAATTAGAATGATGAAGTCAAGGAGGATGAGGTGGGCAGGGCATGTAGCACGAATAGGGGAGACGAGGAATGCGTATAGTATAAAGACCAAGGCGTAGGTTGGTGGACAATATTAAAATGGATCTTAGAGAAATAGGATGGGATGGTATTGATTGGATTGATCTGGCTCAGGATAGGGACCAGTGGAGGGCTCTTTTGAACACGGTAATAAATCTTTGGGTTCCATAAAATGCTGAGAAATTCTTGAGTAGCTGCAGAATTGGCGGCTCCTCCAGAAGGGCTCAGCTCCATGAGTGAGTAAGTAAGTAAGTAAGTAAGTACGTAAGTAAGTAAGTATGGAGCGTCGAATCTCCAAACTACCTTATTTTGTGGTTTGTTTACAATTTGTTGTTGTTTCTGTGTTCTTACTCGTGCTTACTTTGTAATTTGCCTCTGGGCTGTTAAGTTTGCCCGTAAATGAGTAAGAATTTAATTGATTTACTATTACTACATACACGTAAACTTCCTTTTTTGTATTTTATTTGTATTTTGTGGTTGCTTGTATCTTCTTACTCATGCTAACTCTGTAGTTGGCGTCTGCGCTGTTAAGTTTGCACGTAAAAGAATACGAATTGAATGGAATAATGAGCAGCTTTAATTTTATGTGGTTCCAACATTCAAAATGGAGGCTGCCGAACAGTCTTCGTTTACATTGATTATATAGAGCACCGGGATTGTGTAGTAATGATGTCTCGAATAGATTCTTTCTTCATCAACTTGTTAAATTAATTTATAAATATATTATTTAAAGATAAATTTAATATACTGATTCTTATTTCGTACCTCTCTTATGGAAATTTCCTGAGGATAAGTCGTGCCGATCCAGGAAACAACTTCGTAGAAACACGTTCTGTCTGTGAAGGAAGAAGAATATGAATGAGCTGGAAAATTTCACCGCTTTATATATTACTAGAGATATATATGTGCGCTCTGCACTAAATTGATGCGAGAATCTTGTCACCACAGACAGGTTTGTGAATCCGGACAGCTCCTTTCCCAAGGCGAACGTACCCAGACTCACTCCTAGCTAATCAGACAGGACCACGCAGCAAAGCATACCACATAAACTAGACAACATAGCAACAGTAACAATCGACATCCTGGTAATAAGAAAGAATAAAAATTCGTGCTCAAGAAACAGTTAAAACAAACGAATTTAGCCAGTAATAGAAGAATCGGTCTACTACTACGGTAACAGACACTAAGTTGAATATAACGTACAACACTTAAATTACGAGTAATTTTAAAAATTACTACAATTAATTTTTAAATTTTAGTTCATATATATCTTGTATTTAAATCATCGTCTATCAGTTAGAAGATAAATGTACATAGCAGTCATTCTAAGCATATGCACGTAAATATGAATACACGCTCTACAATTCAATAATGAAAATGTATGTAACAAAACACCTGATGATGACTCTGTATGGGTGACACATACAGTGTAACACAGTTCAATAAATGATAGTTGCGTTGACGGTGGAATCATTAGTGTAACGTGTTTGGAAAAGACTCTTCCATAGTAACGCAACAACAGTGAGCCGTTGCGTCGAGAGCGTCGAATCTCCACGGTTACAACGAATACACGGAGCGTTCCCACAGAGCCAATGCAATAACAGTGGGTCGTTGCGTAGGAATCGCAGAATCAAGAAAGCAGCTTTTCCACGGTTATAACATAGGGTTCATTTGCTAAGCAGCGGCCGAGGGTATAAAATGCTTTCGCCAGACAGTCTCGGGGCAGATGCCGAGAGATACAGAAGTAAGTCTGGGAGTAGCCGCTACAGAAGACATTCGAAATATAGCAGCTGAGATCAGTGGTACAAGAAGTAACTATAACAGTGAAGCAGTGGATAATAATTGTACTCGTAAGTGTATAAGTGAAGCGTCCAATAAAGATTCGCTGAATCCGAGACCCACGTGAAGTTATTTGTCGCGTGACATACCCAACACGTAACAACTGGTGTCAGAAGTGGGATCAGTTCGGATTAAGCGGATCAAACTTAAAAGATTGGACTGCACACGTGACCGACAAGGAAAAATGGAGTCGCAACATTATTATTATTATTATTATTATTGCGGCTGTTGACTCAGCACATAAATAATGAAGAATTGAATTGAATTTAACTGAATTATTATTAGACAAGAATAACGCGTTCATTGCTGAATTCCTTCCTAAGAAATTTCTCGTCATTTATATTTAAACTATGCGTCCAGTATCAGTGGCGCACTGATATTTAAAATCTACCAGTAGGACTACATTTAGTAAAACAATGACATATGCATGACTAGGTATCACCAATATCCGTTCCTATTGACTAGATTTAGAAAATATAGTTTCGGGCTCCGTATTACAAGTGCTGACTCCTTGAAGTTTCTTGTATTTCAGATCAAAATGTAGGAGTAAAAAAAAAAGTAAAAAGTAAAGTTATCCCTGTAACAAGTCATGGAGGCCCATGGGGTTGTGAGACGTTGAGGATTCCACATCATCTTGACTATCGGCTCACAGATGGTGGTAAGTTTGTCAGCCTTACGCACCGGCCGCCCCTTACCACCCAGGAAGTTTCCTGGTATTCATTTCTGTTAGAGGCTGAGTCGACCCCAGGACCATAATGCGGCTGGAAGGATTCGGGTCTATTGAAAGAATCCACCTTATTGGGACTCGAAACCGCGACCTTCCGGCTTATAGCACAGTGCCTCAACCAACTATGCTACTGCGTGACCCGAGTATATTAATCGAATCTGATATAGTTTCACTGTAGGGGGAGAGAGACATTCAGTCTTAAAGGCAAATCTCTCTGTATCTAAACAAGGCATCTGCTGATTAACTCTCCTTTAAGCTACATAATGGAAATTGGTCAATATAAATGACTGGTTTGCGTCTGCGTGATTGCAGCTAAAATCATTGATATCAAAATTGCTGATATATACTGAACTATAGACATATACACCCGGGATTTAAATTGAAGAATCTGAACGTTTAGAACGCTGGCACAAGTAACGTATTACCTTATTATTATAATTTTGTGCCCTCGAACTATGCCGCTGTTATCCACTAATTGAATAGTGCGCTTATTACTCTGTATAGAAATTTGATTTGAAGTACGTTTACGCTTTGTTCTCACAGAGCACATAAACGATCATATAATTTGGTTATCTGCTTATATTTACTGTTCATCTCTGAAACTACTGGACAGATTTTGATTAAATCTGATATTGGAGGTCTACACGAAATTTTTCTTCTGTGTTTAGTTTTGTTTCTTGTCGTTCAAATATAAATCCTGTTCTCAAATCCATTTCCTCAGAAGCGACTCATTACACAAAAAGTTTTACATAACCCAAGATCATCAATTTATGCGATTTTTTAACTAATTTAGTATGATTAATATAAGTACAGGCCAAATTTCTCCACATTATGTGGACACTTACTCAGGTTGCGGATCGAGGAGAAGGCCTTTATATATAGAGGATAGACATGAAGTGACTGAATAAACATGCGCGGACAGTCGGAAAGGGATTGTCCTCCAGGTTGGGGGTTGGGCGCTTGGCTAATAACTCCTCGCCATATAAACAAAGGAGACTGCAAAACAGGGCCTCGAAATTTGACAGATTTTTTTTGTAACTATATAAGAAGAGGAAAATGGGAATGAGATTTGGTACGTGCAATGTAAGGAGTCTCTAGAGGTCAAGTTCACTGACAACAGTTGCAAGAGAAAGAAGAAATGGCTCGATGAAGGATGTTAAATCCCTGTAACCAAACAAGATTTCAGTGGTTACAGGATCCGAGCCAAGTAAGTGGGATAATCTGAACAATGTTAGACATGATGAAGTTGATAGACCTTGGAGGAATAAAACGAGGAAATGTCTGAAAGACTAAACTAATGATCTTGGAAGACACAGTAGGAACAAGAATACTATAGACCTATGTAGAGAAATAAATACATTCAAGAATGGTTACCAACACAGAAAAAATTTGGTAAAATACGAGGACGGTTATCTGTTTGAAGATTCCCACAATACGTGGAAGAATTTATTCTCTCATTTATTGAATGTACATAAGGTTAGTGATGTTAGGCAGATGGAAATACATACACATCAACTATCAATACTTGATCCTGATACGATACGTCGTAGCATTCATGCGTACGTAGCAACCAAACGTTAAAATAAGAAATAAAAATTTGTTGAAGTAAATAAGGTCGATATATTTCAGAAGGATACCCTGTACACGATTTATATTAGCACTATTTCATGTAATATCAAGAAGAAATGCATTTCAGTTGTTCCTCTACAAAGTTTGTGTCAACAATAAATGAACACAAAGTCCAGTGACGTATGCAAATCCGAAAAGAAATTATGTATGCACAAAACAGAAAGACATCTCTCCATCTAACATGCGTGAATAATTGTTTGATGTTTCAATACTTTTCTTTCCAGTCATAGACTCGCATTGTGTGGCAATGAGGTCGCTTTAATATATAAGAATTATTCCTTGAAGGAAAGGAAAAGAAATTAAATTGACAAGAACTTATTTGATTGATTCATTTCAAAAAGCAAGAAAAATTCTCCGACCCTTTGACCATACCAGCCTCCTAAGATGAACAATGCCCGTCGCCAGGAAATGGAACTAAACACCTTAAATTGACCTTACTCAATAACGACTTCTATTGGAGCGGTCTTATAAAATATACAGGTAAAAATGGTGCTACTGTCTGACGTTTGCCAACGTAACAGTAGATATTATATTGTTTTGTTATATTCTTACATCTTATTGCATCCTAATTAGACCAGTCATGATTGCAATATTCATTACATCATACATTTAGTTTCCTCTCAAAGGTAACTCTCTGCACGTTACAGCAATATAAACTATGTGACATTTCTTATTTTGCATCTTACCAGATTCTTTTAACAGAGGTCTCATTGAAGCTTGTTTCTTGCGGTCCAAGCTTCCATTGCAATATATATATATTTTAAATATTGCTTTCAGAATCACAATATTATTCATAGAAGTTAATATACTGTGAACTCCATTACATTATGAGATTATAATGGTATCGTGTGCGCTTCGTGAAAGCTTCACGCTGTCCTGAAGCACCGATTTTTGTATATTTATCGATAACGCCCGGTCGTCTCCCATTTTTTAAATCAGCCGTGTTAAAATAATGATGTTTATTGTATATTTCTGATGGCATCTTCTCGAATATAGACTATCGACTGACTGAATTAAATTTTGAAAAATGGGCATTCTTCATTGTCGCTTCATTAAAATTGACTGTACCCTTAATAATTTTCTATTATGTAAAACTTATGGTCATACATTTCCGCTAGAAAAAAATTTTTTTTTTTTTTAATATTTTGTATATATTGTCACGATTTAAGGAGGGGGAGGGGGTTCTGTCTTATAGACAGGTTTTGAAATGGATGATTGGATATTCGGTATTGCAGGCAATTACAGCACTATCGCTGATCTACACACGCACTAGGGTTCATATTCTAGAAACGGATTTATGACAGCCTGTCACTTCAAATCACACGTGAAGTCCTTTTTTCCCCAGCACTGCATAGTAAAGGCTTGATACACTACAAGGTTTCTTAACAACGAAAGAGCGGTGAATACGTATAAAACCGTTTACTATCGCCTAGAAAATAGACCGAGAAGAGAGAAATGAAAGCAGCAACCTGGGTCTTAATATCTTAGAGGCCTCTTAAATTGATCTCATGTACGCATGTCTGCATGTCTGTCTCAACGAACTAACGGATTTTAGTTAAAATTATCTTCTCAATTGTATTTTGCATTTTCGTCCATGTGAAACTACGGGTTTTATCTGACAAATTGTCTAAATCGGAAGCTGTTATCAGTTGCAATTGTAGGCAGGAGTAATAAAGAAACGATGCAATTATTGTGTTGCAATTCTCGTTAAGTTCTTTGATCTCCTGACGCAAAGCACAAACCTCAAGATATTTCCAGAACGTCTTTTACTTCCTTAAACCGAAAAAAGTTCCTTTGAATGAGCCTACAAATGTATTATTTGCATATTTTTCTGTGTTTATTTAAATACGTCTTCAATAAATCTCAAAATTTTGTTTAATTTCGAGTGGAAACCTTGTGTATTTATTAGGAATCATTCTGCAGTGTTGATGTCTACTTGCTACAATGTCTTTACGCGTAGAGAATATAACCAAGATGTTTAATCCGACGGGAATGGGAAGGAATGTTCCCTATTGCAGTGATAACAAGAAGTGAAGTGAAAAATAATGACTGCAAGTAAGAACTGTTTAAATCAGTAAAATTATACGTTGTCCTGGAAAGGTCTACACTGACAGTGAGTTGTATTTATGTAACTGAGATTCTTCCAACTGGAAACTCTTTTTCTTAAGGACATTGCTTTTAAGGGTAGATTATTGACATCTTAGGAGTAACTGTGCTGAAAAATACAAGTGTGCTACTCATTGAATACACAACGTAATAGAAATACTTAATGATAGGAGAACCAGACTGTGCTAGTGCAGTTTGAAGGGTAGTAATTTATTCCCTTCGCCCTTGTTTCATTCCCTCCTTCCTTTGTTGCCCTCAGAATTCCATTATCAAATTTGCCTCACTCTCCTGGCTTCAGACTGCCGTTGCTCGCAAGTCCTGCCTCATTTTCTCAGCGCGCATTCCCGCTTTGTATAACAGCGGCAGGGAACGGATGCCACATAATACAGCCCACGTTTCGTTAGAATAACATTGGGTCAGTGACATCACTTATCTCGAATTATGGTCTTTTTGTTGGTGTTTTTGTTTTGTTTAATTGTGTTAACAACAAGAAAATACTAGGTTAAAATAGTTACAAATTATTAGGAGCCCGGATAGCGTAATCGGTATAGCGGCTGGTTACGGGCTGGACGACCGAGAGGACGGAGTTCGAGTCACGGTAGGGTCAAGAATTTTCTCCGTGTAGTCCAGACCGGCTCTGGGGTTCACCCAACCTGCTATCTAATGTGTACCGGGGGCACTTCCCCGGGAGGTAAATCGTCCGGAGTGTGAAGCTGACAACCCACCTCCAGCTAATGCCGAAATAAAGAAAATGTGGATCTATAAATCCACTCCCCCATACTCCTTCATGGTGTAGCGTTTAAATAGTTGAGCAATGGGACAACTTTACCTTACAAATTATTATTTTAAATTCCTGTCATTAATGCACCACCATTTCAGCTGCGATCGCTTGTAGACAGAGATAGTGAAAGGTGACAAGCCGGGTGAGGGAAAGAATGAACACATATTTTTCACCTGTCTAATAAGTACTTACCCTGTGCCTCCTCCCCTCACCCACTTCCACCAGTTGTCATATGTATTCTGGCTGTCGCTCTCTCTTTTCTTCATTGATTTATTATTGGTGTTGAGGGATGGGAGAAGTGCAATAACGGTAACTGCCACAATGTGCCATGTAACAGACCATTCATTCGTCGCGATATTCATCTTCAGTTAGTCAGTCAGTTCGGTCAGTTCTTAGTTAGTCTGGGAACTGGAAAGTCGGTAGAGCGAAATCCGCTAATGTTTGGTTTTGCACATTCTTTCCTAAGCGAGTCACGAACTATATTCAAACAAACTCCGTGGCCTGTAGTCCGCAAGCTAACTATACCGACCGCGCGACCGCCTCTTGTCGGCGAACTTAGTGCCAACTTTAGAGGATAGAGGGTGTCACATGATCAGCGCAACGGCTCCCCCCGGCCGTTAATCTCGGTTTTCTAGACCGGAGCCGCTGTTTCCTTGAAATAGCTCCTCAATTATCCTCACGAGGCTGAATGGACACAGTTCCAGACCCACTACTTCTCAGAAAATCTGGTACCGCCGCGAATCGAACCTGGGACCTCTGGATCTGTAGCCAGGAAATCTGACCATTAGATCACAGAGGCGGTCACGAACTATTCTATATTCATGAAAGATAAAATAAAATCAATAATATTTAAAATCTCTTATTAATGATCTTCCATCCACAAAAAGAAATATATATTTCAAGCACGTTCACCATATATTTCCTGACAAATTCTGAATTTTCTGAAATCATATGGATGGCATGTCTGTAACGCGTGGTAAAGACCGAAGCGTCATACAACATTTAATCGGAAAGCATGGAAGCTAAAAGATCATCTGGAAAATGTAGGCATAAATGGAAAGATAAATGTGTTTTGAAGAAGTAAGGGGCGATGACATAGCATGGATTCAGGTGACTCAGAATATGACCAAGCGCCGGGCTGTTGTAGACACGGGAATGAATATAAGGTGGAGAAATTCTTGACGTGTCTAGAGACTGTGATATTCTCAAGACTTCATCAGAATTTCATCAAAAGGAACATTATGTTAATAGTTTTTCTGTTAGTATACTCAATTTGACTCAAAGGCAGTCATCGTTGCTCTTCCTACATACAGGTACGAGTAAACCCTAGACTTTTCTGCATCAGTCTTTGCTTAAGATCTTTTCATGTACTGCCGAAGTTTGCGTAACATATAACAAAGCTCTTCTCATCAGAATAATTGAAAGTAGTAAGTTATATATGTGGAGTCAAGGTAAAGGTACAATTGCCCCTGTTATTAACTAATTAAACACTACGCCATGAAGGCGTATGGCGGAGTGGATATACAGATCCACAATTTTTTGACCTCGGCACTAGCTGGATGTGCGTGGTCAGCTCCGGATATACGTGGAGTATTATTTAGGATTTAGATATTACGCTCTTACGTGTAACTATATTTATATACATACATAAATATATGTTTTGTTAAAGTATATTTATAGGAACCTGCTGTGCCTTTTCTTCTACGTATTAATTTAATTACCGTATATTTTTAGAGTATTGTTCGGTCTGTTTGAATGTTTCTTTTGAAATTACGTAATTTGGCAATCGTACGCTTATCTACTGACTGGTCAATAGACTAGACCCGCCTAAGCAGGTAATGCACACGTAAATGTGCTGCTTTAAGACCCCTACGTGCAAGAAGGGAGTGGGCACGTGGCAGGGCAGTTGTTTGAGGCACTATGCTACAAGACGGAAAGTCGTGGGTGCCATTGCCGATTATGTTATTGAACTTTTCAGTTGGCCTAATCCTTCCAGCAGCCTGTGATCTACTCATCTTTTAACAGAAAAGAGTACCAGGAATCTTTCTGGGGGTAAAGGACTGCCGGCGCGTATGGTTGAAAAACTCACCTCCATCTGTGAGCCGATTGTCTAGAAAAATGTGGGAGCCTCGACGTCTCACAACACTATGGGCCCCCACGGTCTGTTACAGGGATAGCTTTACCTTTAATCTTTACGTGAAGTAAAGGGAAATACTACAAATTAAAGTGAAAGAAACATTACATTGTTCGTCTTACATAATTCTTAACATTATGACCAGTCTTTAATACTGGTCTCTCGTGTAGATGTTTTATAATGAGCGTTCTGCGAAACTAGCCCGCAGTGAGTTCAGAGCAGAGAGACATTAAACTTTTTCCAACTGTTCTGCTGCCTTGAATGACGAGGCAGTTCACTGAAAGTCTATTCCGGTAACGTCCGAACACTTACCCCATGCTGGTTCCCATGAGATTGTTGTCTGCAAATTACCACCGTCTATTCCCAAGGTCGTGTTCTCGATCCTGACGTCACTCACAGAACCTGGCTGGAAAGTATCTGTGAAAAGCGCAACGCAATTATTTAATCTCTGGAGCAGAATTATTTGCTTAAACGTGCGTCTGTAATTTTTATGAAACGACATCCTTAATTGATTTTGAGTTAGCTTCGGTCCCCTTTATTCACAGAACTTTCTAAATTAAGTCTGAGATTTGCGGTATGATTCCTTAGATGGATAATCAGCCAGACCATCCTATGAAATGTACTTTCACAGGAGAGTACAGAAAGTTGTGGATAAGCATTAATGCAACAAAGAAAATTCGGTCCCACGGTGCTAGTGCTCCACCAAACTAACATGATACGTGTTCTTAGGCTGCGCACCCAAAGAGATGGAATTCTTATTTAATGCACACTATAAATCTGTTTTATTCAGGAAATTCAGAAAAGGACACTGTATAGAATTATTTAATACAATAAACTGTGAAATTTTTAAATTCTGCTTTTCTTACGGTTTAGAGTGGAAATCCATGAGCTAGTGGAGGCGTTTCCGAGTTGTCCGTCAGGCAAAATGGCTACCACTCGTAACTGGTACGGCGTATTTTCCCTCAAGCCGTACAGTGTCACCATTTTCCTCCGTGTCTGGAAAAGTAATCTTCATTTTATATGTTGACTTCTTCTTGACATCCGTGTTACATCGAAATTAGGTGTTACTGATTACTGCACCTTACCGCTTTTCATCTGTTTCTGTAGCTTCATGTATCGAGTGTGTTGGTGTAGTTGTAATGCTGCGGGTAGGCTAACCAGACAGGTTAGAATAGGGGATGGATTATCTGTTATCATGGCTGAATATTTGTGATTTAATTAAGATGTATAATCGTCATCTAAATACAATTATGTTTTCTTATGCTCATTAAATATTATTAAAACCCTAATATTTATACCTTAAATGTGCATTTTCAGGGAGACACCAGACATCGTACGAAAGTTTACATTTTGCGTATAGGAATAAAAGTTGTAAGAAGTAAAAACACTTTTATAAAAATTTGGAAATAATATTTTATTGAAGTTGACTAATTTGAAACCTTGTTAAATGCAACTTTCTTGATAGCTGGTACATAGTACTGAGTTGTGTATTCCTGCGTCTTACTCCCCTTATTGTCAGTACGGTGATGTTGGGCGACATTTTTGTGTGGATCTTGAAACGTTGAAAGTTGAACTGTTGAAGAGCTGGTAATATAGATGTTTGTATGATAATTTTACAACTTATTTTAAAATAAATATTACAACAGCAAAATGATACCTACCAAATCCTGCACTATGATTTTTAATATAAATTCTATCTCAATCATTTGACAAATTTTTAATATAGTTCTGGAACAAAGGCAATTTTGACAGACAAATATTCGCACATCCACATTTAGGCCCTATCTTGGATTGTGTGAAACCGAAATTTGTGGTTAAATTGCTACTTCGAAACGAGAGAAAGCTCCATAGAAAATAAAATGACATTGCAAATATATCATTCAGTCTTATTTCGAAATATTCCCATTTTCAGCATTCCATTGAAAATGTTATCTACTGATAATTTTTATTTTAAATCGACTGAGAATAAACTACTACTTATGGCACATAAGTAAGCATTTTTATTTATATTAAAAGAATATAAAAATAAGTTTCTTATTTTCATATTTTCGGGGAACCCAAGCATTTATTTAATTGTTTTAAGGGGTACCAAGCACAGACTTTTGAGAACAATTGCATTAAATTATTTCAATTCCACTTTACTTAAGGAATTAAACTTTGACACGTATTTTTCGAGTGTTCCAGCATGTTATAATGTGACTCCATACACGACACTTCTATTTACTATTTTGTAAAACTACTGTGTTGTAATGCAGTTTAAGGGTCACTGTGCTGAACTACCTATATCAACTTTTCACATGCTTTTTAAGGAATTTGATACACGAGTATTTAGACGAAACTTAAAATATATCCCTTCTGCTATAGAACGTTATGTAAAACACAAATTCATAACTATTGATTTTAAGGGATTTGCGAGTATTTTTTCGGGTCCCAATGTACTTACAGGATTACGATGTCGTTGTGTCCTTTGACAAATTTACGGCATTTTCAATGTACGTAATTCCGTGTGTTAATTTAATTTAGTCATATCTATGTAGGTGTCGGACACAACAAACAGATGATATGTATTTACCCTTCTTCTTCATGCACTCATTTCTGAAAGTTTAATGTAAAAAATTCGACTAGATATTCCGCCCTATATTGCCATCTAGGAATATTTTTTTAATTCGCTTAGTGGGGGATGGAGTCAAACTCTGTCCACTCGGCACGGCGGCCACTGATTGGCCTATTGTAGCCTGCCCCGGGCGATTATGATGGAGAATTTGTTGGAATGAAAATTGGCAGGGGAAACCGAAGTACTCGGAGAAAACCCGCCCCAGCGCCACTTTGGTCACCGTAAATCCCACTTGACCAGACATGGGATCGAACCTGGGCCGCCGAGGTGGGAAGCCAGCGACTAACCGCTTGAGCTATGGCGCGGCCTCAGGAAAGATTAAATATCTCATTCTATCTGCGAGTGCCGTAGACAACATAATATATTTCTTATGATCCAATGCTGGAACAGCTGTAAAACTTGTCTAGTAATAATATGGAATAATAGTCCACTTCATTTATTTGAGCGCCTGCCAGCAACAAGTTGTCTGTAACAGGCAAGCCCTATGAAAATCTATGCTGAAAATAATATGATATTGAATCAACCATAAGCCTTTAACAACTACAATAAACAACTGAAAAAAATGCAAATACCGTATTTACGCATGTATAGACTGCGTGCGTGTATAGGCCGCAGCACAATTTTCAGACAGAAATTATAGAAAAAATAATTTTCTTGGAATATTATTTCAGGAGTATTACACCCTGTATTACTAATTATGAATATATATTTTTTTAATTTAGTGTGATTTCGAATATTTCGAATATAAGCCGCACCCCAGTTTTCCTCTTGAATTTTTGGCAAAAAATGTGCGGCCTATACATGCGTAAACACGGTACATATAAAATGATTCACAGCAATGGGAATCCTGTTATAGGTTTAAATAGTACATAAAATAGAAAGTTCAGCAACTAATTTATCTTTCATTTTATCTCCTGAACATGAGTAAAAAGCAAACCTACCGTGCCCCATGGTCTCCAGTCCTGATCTCCTTCGCTTCTCACCTCAACGGCGAACATTGGGTCTCCCTGACACTCCCATTCGACACTGAGCAAGGTTGCCTCTCTGCAGTGAAGATGGGGTGCAGATGGGCCCGGACCTTTCACTGCAGACCTACGGACTTTCTCGAACGTTGTAACACAGTTCCCATACTGTTATACATATTTTCAGAAGAGATACAACATGCATTTACTTGTCTATGGGATGGTATTTTAAGATGCTCTTATTGTGTTATGAGGGTGACCCACATTGAATCAACCGCTAGCCAATCAGCGCGAACCAACGGGCGTTGGAGCTGCCAATTTCAGGTACTACGATTATAATTAAGATCTAATATTGTACTTTTTAAATAGATATTGTAATAATTAAACGTAAGTTAAATGAGAATAAAAGCAACGAAATAAATTATGTATTATTGTTTGTAAATGTGCTAGTTCGCGTTTCTGTAATTACATTGCTGTATTGGCTTTCAAAGCTTAGAATCGTATTCTTATTATAGGTGCATATTTTTAAGAGGGATATTGCGTAAAACGCAACTGGTTGTACCCTACACCTGCTTGAATGTTTCGGTTCCTAAACGTGAAAAACAGAACCCTTACAAAGTGTGAAATTGTACTTGGTTTTTCTCGATCAAAATTGTTATGCTTTAAATACAGGGGGGTCCAAAAAATGTACTCACTCTTTAATAGTCAATATCTTTGGAACAAAATGACACGTAGTTACAATTCTTGGGCCGTAGTGTAGTGTAATGTTTCTCAACAGATGGCGAAGGTCACATGAGTCACGTGAGTGTCGTGCCGCGTGCGCGCTGCGAGCAGAAGACAACAGCAATAATGGCTGAAAAGTTGTTCTTTGAGCAACGCAAGGCTGTATTGAAGTGGTACTGGAAGTACGAAAACATTAAAGAGGTACAGTGACAATGGCAGAATGAGTTTGGAACTCAGCCACCAACACGTCGAACAACTGCCCGTATTTGGGATAAATTTGAAGCCGACAGTACTGTTCATGATGTGCATAAGCAAGGATGTGGGTGACTACGGATAGTAACAAGTTCAGCTTCGAGTACTGTGGTGTTGCAACACTTTACACGATCACCACAAAAATCTGTGAGTCAGTGTGAACGCAAAAGTGGGGTAAGCCGATCAAGTGTACGGCGAATTCAATAAGATGGTGCTCCACCTCACTACCATCGAGATGTCAGAGCGTACTTGGATGACACTCTACCTGGACGATGGATAGGTCGAAGAGGTGCTGTTTAGTACCCACCTCGGTCTCCTGACCTAACACCTCTCGACTTCTGCCTATGGGGAACCTTGAAGGATGATGTTTATCGACAAAAGCCAGCTAAACTGAACGCGCTACGAGAAATCATCGAAGCGTCGTATGCAGCCATCACACCGGACACACTGACAGCCGTAGTTAGCTCAGTAGTTCGGCGGCATGGGCGCTGTTTAGCCGCTGATGGTGGTCCCTTCGAACACATACAATGACTCTCTCTCTCTCTCTCTCCACGCAAGAATTGTAACTACATGTAATTTTGTTCCAAATATATTGACTATCAAAGAGTACATTCTTTTGGACCCCTCTGTCTTGCGTCATATTTGCCCAAGGCAAGGACTGGAGAGCCAGAGAATCAACACTGTTAGGCAACAGCTGTGTAACACGCGACAATGGAATAACTGGTGGAAGGGGTGTTTTTATGCTCTCCGCGCTAATATTGACTTCATGCAACAATGGAGTAATTGATGTAAGCTGTGTTTCACGCGGTTCGTAGAAAATGTAAGAGGCCTAAACTTGGCGGTGATCAAGCTTACCACTGTTCAAGTAACTAAGCTACCGTTGTAGCATAAGATACATAAGATAGGCATGATCTGCTTTACAAAGCCTGAATGGATGGAGGACTTATACATAGTGCAGAAGGAAGAATTGCCAGTATCACATATGTGTGGTATGTACATTTGAAGAAAGGCCAAGCTTATTAATAAGAAACATAACGATTTTCTCATCAGAGAGGATGTTACATAAAGATTATTATGACAAGATTTCAGTTGAAAAAATCTCTTCTTGTGATTCTCAAGGGGCTTGTCGCCAAGACGAACTGATTGGCGATAAACAGCCAGTCGTAAAGTAACTCTGGCTTTGACTTTGCTAGATAGATCCCACCTCGGGGTATGCGGTGGAAGCTCTTCTCTTAACATTTCAGCTCCTGTAGAACAGGGTATTCAGCGCTTTTAGACATCTTGGCAGATGCACACCAGTCCGCGAATTCACGTGGTTTTCAAAATTCCTTAGTCTATGGTTATATAATTAAATTGTGCAACACTCAGGAAGAAGTAATCCTAAGTCCAATTGTACGTGGTATAGGACAAGGAGAAGCCAGGCACAGAAAGCATAAGGGGCTTAAACTTGACGGCGGTCAGGACCACGACCATTCTCCTGACTAACTGCAGTTTCAGAGTAGTTACATGAATTAAGGCATAACCTGCTCCACAAGCCTGCATTTACAGAAACCTCTGTATATTTTTTATAAGTGTTGCTTAGTATAGTGCATTGATAAAGGTTGTACAAGGCCCACAGTAACCTGGACGCCGTGACAGCGCGGATATACTCGTGCTAAAACTACGGTGCAACAAACGTAGCGCATACACAGAGAGGAGGCCCCACTGCGAAACACGTATATGTCTAGGAGAAAATAAAAATCTTGATCATGGATTTCTGAAACCAGAAATGAGTGTGCTGGAGAAGATCATCAGCAATTTAACCGACCGACCGATCCACATGTGGGTGTGTTTATTTCGGGATCCGCAGCTGGAAGGTGCCAGCCAATAAGGACGTGAGTTCGGAAGCAGAGGAACGTCCGCCGTTATCAATCAACGTGACTGAGAACACTAGCCTGTGTGTGTAGTCACGAACTGTAAATTGTCCAATAATTCCTATTACCAATCCAAATCTTGTATATAGTCACTACATCACGTGACACCATTTTTATGCCTGCTGAATAATTATGAACACAAGTAAAATTTTCGGCATTGAGGTTTATAATTTTATTTTCATGATTTCTTAAGCCTTTTATTTAAATCCATAGTATCTTCAGATCCATTCTTCCTCGAGTCATTTTCTTACCATTAATATTATTTGCAAAATTATTTATCACAGATACTGCGTGTCTCTTACGTGCATCTGAAGGTCATTCGGAATTCTTCATTCCAGTTTTCGTGTTTCCATTAGTTCGTCAAAGAGGGTGCGAGAGGATATTTGTATGTGAAACACGAAACGTGACTATCTGTTTATACACTTGTGTTGTTTCGTGGATGGCGGTTTATTGATTTAGTGCATACAAATGCACAAATCGAATTAGCTTCCATGAAAATTAAATGACCGACATTGTACGTTGTACATCGTAGATTATAATATTCTTCTTTCCAGTGGAATATAAACATAGGCATAGCATATACTTCATTTTGTGTATGCATATCCAGCCTTGTTCAGCGACAGTTTTGTACGTTTTGTGAAACAAATTATTTTGCTTTCTTAAACGACTCTTGCAAATTAAATCTGTACTGAATTTAAAAAAACTTCTACATGTCTGCCTGAAAATCTCTTATAAAGATTGTCAGTAATTAGAAGATACGACCATCATGAGAAGAACAGTAGTTCAATAAGTAAGAAAACTGGTATTTTTAGGACATGGAGAGATTTATCCAGGAATAAAATGAAAACGCCGATTGATGGTTGAAATTATGATAATTTTGCAATATATCTTTTTTGCGGAGACTTCAAAGTAGGAGGGCAAATTATTCAAACTGTGAAATATGCAGATGACCTTGTGTTAATGGCTAAGGAAGAAACTGTGCTACAGGGCATGATTGATAGACTAATTGAAATTGGAAGGTGCTATGGCATGGCAATGAATGTCGAGAAAACAAAAGTAATGACAATTTCGAGACAACCAACCCCAGTCACAATAAAGATAGACCAAAAACAACTGGAGAATGTGAAATGTTTTAAATATTTGGGTAGCTTGTTAACAGATGATGGAAGGTGTACTTGTGAAATTAAATCCAGGATTGCCATGGCAAAAGCTGCATTTAGCAAGAAGAAGAATCTTTTTACCAGCAAATTGGACTTAAATTTGAGGAAGAAACTAGTGAAATGCTACATTTGGAGCATAGCTCTGTATGGGGCTGAAACATGGACACTTGGGGCAGTAGATCAGAAACATCTGGAAAGTTTCGAAATGTGGTGTTGGAGAAGGATGGAGAAGATCAGTTGGACCGATTATGTGAGAAATGAAGAAGTGTTAATTAGAGTCAGTGAGCAGAGGAATATCCTACATGAAATAAGAAAACGGAAGGCTAATTGGATTGGTCATTTTTTACGCAGAAACTGCCTTCTAAAAGAAGTTATGGAAGGAAAGATAGATGGGCGGATAGAAGTGACAAGAAGACGAGGAAGAAGACGTAAGAAGATACTGGATCACCTTGGGGACAGAAGAGGATACGGTCATTTGAAAGAGAAAGCTCTAGACCGCATTAAGTGGAGGAATTGTTTTGGAAGAGACTGTGGACCTGTCGTCTTGACAGGTTACTGATGATGATGATCTTTTTTGCTTATTTTAGAAATTTACTTCTAGATAATTATAGAGCTTCTGAAATTTTAAGTAGAATCGCATTTAATATTTGAACAGTGAATTTATGAAATGGTATGAGCAGTTGTATCTTTACAAGCCATTCTGAGGATTTGAGTGGCATGTACATTTTATGGTTGTGCAGAAAAGAAATGTCTGACGACAGAGAGAATACTGGATAGTTCTTTAAATCTGGCTCGTACTTAAGATTTATATGTTTTGAGTTATACTGCTGTGTAGATGTAGTCCGTTGAAGGTCAACCGACGTTTCGAGGGGATATGTCGTCTCCATCTTCAGGGTCGAGGAATAATTCAACCAACAAATCAGCGTGAAAACATGTGACATTCAGAGCTCTGCTCATAAATGTTCTGTTTACCACTTACTTTCCCGCTGGTTTTGCTTGGCTTATTCTTCGGCGCTGAAGATGGAGACGATATGTTCCTCCGAAACGTCAGTTGACTTTCAACCGGCTACACTGCGTTATATCTTAACAGACAGAACTGTTCATAACCAACTCTGTGAGAATGTCAAAACCTGATGGTTCATATTGTCTGATATGTTTGAATAATTACGTACATACAGGCCTACATGAAATGAGTAGTTATTAATGGCATTTACATGTTTGTTTCTTAATTTTATTTATGTCTCAGTTCATACTTTGGTATATAATTTCTTTATGCTGTATCTGGAAGACATCTTTCAAAAGGATCTCGTCTATCTTCTGTATATATTTTATTTCGCTTACAAGCCAGTTTACTCCCCGAAATCTAACATCCTCAACTGCCTTCCTCTGTGGCTAGCCAAGGGACGACTTAAAGGTTGACGATGTGACAACGCTGAAGATAGTGACGGCTGTTGTATACCACAGGGGACAGTGAGATATGAGTATGAAGCAATGGTGGAATAAATTTTAAGAGGAGAAAACTGAACAACTGTCAAAGAATGTCCTGATCCAATGCAATATCGACTAAGAATCTCATGCTAAGTTAGTAGGGACTGAATCCCAAGTTTCTTTGTAGCCCTCAGCGCCTAACTGTCGGAGCTAAGACATGGGCTCATGATAAACTGGTACCTCTACGTAACTAAAATTTTCTATTTCCATTTTGGTCATTTGGTAATTTCTTTTTAAATGTTGTAACTTGCATGGCCAGAGCATTGTTAGGAAATGGGCCGGTAAACACACGCATTACACGCTCGCAACAATGTAACGAGTTTATGCAACCAGCTTCTAGGCAACGGCTCAGTAAACAAACTTTTGCGCAGGCGCAATGACGTCATACTGCAAAAGTACTGGCTACCACGTGACTTGTGTTCTGTGTTGTCCGTGCGGAGCCTATATAAAACGAATATCTGTTAACGGTTAAGTCAGTCCTGCGAGTTGTAGGAGGCGACGAAAAGGGAAGTCTCAAATCTGAGACAGTAAAATATGGTCGCGAGTCCCAAGGGACTCGGGCCTGAGAAAAACTGCACTGGAAAGGGCCAGCAGCATGTGCAAATGACATACCCGTCCTCTCGTCAGAGAAGGGGCCCCACAAAATCAATACCGTAACTGTCAAAGAGTAATAAAGGGGCTCGACGCCAAGACTTACTGACTGACTCACTGACCGTCAGTCAGACTTTTGACTTTGGCTTTGGGTAGGTCAGTGTGGAGAATCCAGGAGAGCTCAAGGCATTTGAGAGACTAGTGCAGAGTGCTTGCAAGAGACGTGAATAGAAGACCTGACGTATGTGTTATAATTACAGCAATCTTGAAAGTGTTATAATTATTTGTAATTACAACTAGTTAAGATCCAATTAACCGATCACTATGACACGTAACAATATTCTTGTAACCTATTTGTGCGTATCGAAGTATAGAGTATAATTTGTGTTTGAATATGTCTAAAGAAGTATAACACAGGCAGTCACAGGAGCAAGAAACAACACAAAGCACAATAATACACGATAGTGAAAGAGTGCTCCAACAGAAGAGGATAGATGTGACTCGCGTAGTGAGATACGACGTAGGGAAGAAAAAAAATTCCTGAACAATTTTAATATTTTTAACATTTAACATTTATCAATATATATGATAAATATATATTTTAGTTATTTTAATATGAAGACAAGGCATGCAATAAACTAGTTTAGCGTAAATTGAATAAGCACCTGAAGATGGCACTTTTGTGCCGAAACATGTAGTGGCAGTGAGAGGAGGAGATAGATGAGTGTATGCACTGGAAGACGGTTGAAATAAATCATGTCTAAAGAATTTACTGGGTATGCCAAACTAAAAGAAACTAATGTCGAGAATTCTCTTGTATTTACAAGGAAACTTAAATGAAATTGCAGTTTCACTCTCGAATGAGCCACCTCATCCTTGACCCTCAGCGGTTTATTATTTACTTCTGGGATCCATACTTTGACGTAGAGCTATGCCAGCGGTAGCATAGCCAATGGTAGTTCTCCCATGACGGACAGGTGAAAGATGATGATCCAGACAAAAGGGGTACTCTGGTCCGCAGTTTGGGGCTTGGGTGTGGTGTTGAAACCCCACCCCGTAAAGCCCTAATTGTTGAGAAACTTTCGACGAGGAAGAAGAGTTAAGGTTCGGCCACACAGAGGGCTGCGCTATGTCCGCTACGTACGCTGTGTACACTCTGCGACGCAGGTAACATAGGGAACATAGCGTACATAGCGTACGGAAGTCTGTGTGGCCAGTCACATTGGCAATAAAGGGAGATATTTTTCTGTTCGTATAGCGAACATAGCGTACGCTGTTTCTGACGTAATATATGAAGTTTCTTTTAACTGTGAAATCATTTCTTTTATTGATGCATATGTTGTAATTTTAACGCTTTGTTATTATGCAGATCTTTCCCTCTTAATTTAATACTGCTTTATAGTAACTGGATATTTGGTTGCCGATTACAGTGGTCTCGCTGTCTTCGCCCTCTTGAACACTGGAATCGTGAGTTCGAATTCCACTCGAGGCATGAATGTTTGTGTTGTTCTGTGTGTAGGTAACGGCCTTGGCGACGGGCTTATCTTCCGTCCAAGGAGTCCTACAAACTGTATATAGCAGGCATGTGCAATTTCAAACAGGTTGTGATCGACTTTTTAGTGTCAAAACTGCCAGTGATCTACCACCTCCTCCTATAGTCCTACCTCGCTTTAAGCAAAAATATTGGTAAAAATAATGACACATGATGTTTGTTGTAAAAGTAACATACATTGAAAGTACAGACTACTTTAACACATATTTTCCCTTCAAAATCTGAATATAATCATATTATATTATAAGTGAATTTACATGCTTTTCACGTATAATTTCCTTATGGGCCTATGAGATCGACCAAAAATCGTCCCGCGATCGACGCGTTGGACATGCCTGGTATATAAGATTAAGAAACTGAAAAAGAGGCGTATGTCCAAAAGACGCTGTAGAGTGACAGAGAAAGAGTGATATTTGATGGCAAACATTGGTACCCGTGCACATACACGCATAGATAATAATTACCTGAATTGTTGCGAAGTTCCCTCAAGCAAGAACAGTCCTTAATACAGCCATTAGAATCATCCTGAAACATGAAATATCCCCCCCGAAAGCATCATCAGGAAAGCTGAAGTACATTACTAGGAATGGGGAATAGGTATAGATAAATAATTTTGCTGACACTGGTAACTGTGATTAACTCTCTCCATTTCAAAAGTTTTTAAATTGACGTGTATTACCAACACAGTTTGTTTAGAATTTGTTAATATGATTTATATTTGGGAAGTATCCGTTTCGTGTCTTAGCCTGGAAAGCAGCTATTCTGGCCAAGATTACCATTTAAGATTGACGCATCTTCTGGGCTGTGATGCTGTGTAATTTGACAAATGGTTACAAACATTTTGGGGCGGCGTGTGTTTACTATGACTATAAAGGCAACGTCCGAGAAGACATCATTACTGATACTAACATTCCTGACAGCTTCAAGTATCGTAAAAATGATCATGTTTTTGCCCAATCCATTCCAGCTAANCACTGGTAACTGTGATTAACTCTCTCCATTTCAAAAGTTTTTAAATTGACGTGTATTACCAACACAGTTTGTTCAGAATTTGTTAATATGATTTATATTTGGGAAGTATCCGTTTCGTGTCTTAGCCTGGAAAGCAGCTATTCTGGCCAAGATTACCATTTAAGATTGACGCATCTTCTGGGCTGTGATGCTGTGTAATTTGACAAATGGTTACAAACATTTTGGGGCGGCGTGTGTTTACTATGACTATAAAGGCAACGTCCGAGAAGACATCATTACTGATACTAACATTCCTGACAGCTTCAAGTATCGTAAAAATGATCATGTTTTTGCCCAATCCATTCCAGCTAAAGCCGAAAAGATATCTGCCTTTATACGTACGCGACATCTCCCCTGTCCATTCTAGTAGTTCGCTGAAAATAATCGTCCTGTTTGCATCGGCGATGTGTAACTTGTGGAATCGATATAGCTTGTAAATAACCCAGAAGTCAATAAACTGATGTTTATTTGATTTATATAATCTGTTGGCACTAAGAAGAACTTTTAATTTTGGCAGGCGTAAAAATTTCTTTTGAACAAAATTAAAATTACGAATATTTTAATAAAAAAATTATCTTAAATCTCTAGAACGGAACCTCTGCTACAGATTTAGTTAAGTCAGTGGCTCTGGACGACTGCACTTTCTTTCCTTTCGACAACCTGGAAGGAAGCTTACGGGAACGTCGGTTGATTGACAAGAGCAAATGCCACACACACAGAATCAGAGAACACATGTCACAAAACATTTTAATAGCTTCACACTCTGTGTTTGGGGCAGAAATAACTATAATATTTTGACGAGTATTTTCTTTTAATGTGTTCAGAGTACAGGTTCTTAGAAGAAAAACGCCTACGAAATAAACGGATTGTATATTTACATTTCTGAACATGAAGACTCGTCTTTATTACATCCACAAGAACCTTAGTTGGTTGTGAAATAAAGTTCTTCATTCCTGTGAAATTCGTAACATTGTAAGTTTAACAAATTACGAATTTTCCTTATATTATGACAACTGTTGACTTATTACGTGATGTCTGTCATAGGCTGTTTTATTTGTGTGTGTCTCCCCCTCTACATTCGCCGTCCGAAACTTGTAATCATATTCTGATAAAGTTAGTTTGTTGGTACAGTACGCGACCTCTATGAACAATTCTGTGAGGCAAGCAATTTTTGTTTCAGCGGCCAAACTAAACCCATATTTCACAGTAAGCTCAAGTCTGAGAATCTAGTCCACACCTCACATCTTCCTGGCTGGATGGTAGGGTTTCAATTCCTGACAAGGGCAAGAGATATTTCTCTTCTCTGGAGGGTCCAGAATGGTTCTAGGGTGCACCCAGGCTCTCATCCAATTGAGAGCCATTTTCCGTGGTTAAAGCGGCCTAGCCGTGAAGCTTACCACTCACTTCGACATAATGCCGACGTCAGGAATACGTGGATCTCTGCCTTAACTCCCTTTAAATAATTAAGCTCAGGGACAACTATTAGATGTCGCAAAATGTCTCTTTCCTTTTGGTCTTCCGACTATAACCCAAATTCGTTAATTTTTACAAAGCTAATCATCTTGAAAGAGGCACATAAAATCTTCGAGCTCATAATGTATGAAATATGCCCAAAACTATTCATCCAGCGCCATGAATTAAAATTTTTAATTTATAGGAGAATACTAATTTTAGAATCATAATACACTGTATTAGTTGAGTATGAAATGTTCGTTCATTTTCCTGTTTTCGGTGTCTTGCCCTTTCTCCCAAAATAATTTATTGCGTAGCAGGTACCAATCAGCACGGCTATACACAGCGTTCAGTGATATATTTCTCTTACTTTATTATATTTAAACTTGAACATTACTTGAACGGAGGGATAAGAACTGTATACAGGGTGCTTCCAATTGTTCTAAAAGTACAGTTTCAGTAACAGCTCAGCAAGTTTTCGTATTTTGAATTTAAACACTAATTATATGGAATTCAACTTAAGGACCACGCATTCAACACAACCTGATACTCCCTTTTTCGGTTTCATTACTTCGGTGTTTCTTATAGACCATCTATGAGGTTCAGGCTTCTTTTAATTTACCGAATGTTCGAATTTGAGACAGAATTTATTGTTTCCTTCATTATTAAAACTTCTGATTTCTCGGGAGGGTAATGTTGAAGAACTTGATTAGACATGCTTCCGAACTAACACACAGGCTCTTATGGAAGTAAATCTTAATTCATTAATTGCGTATTTATTACGTTAATCTCTCTTCCGTGTCAATTTCATTTCTTATTTTCCGAGACTACAAATTTTTATAAATATATATCATTTTAAGAAATATTTCAGTTCTTTAAACTTGACTACTACACTACTACTACTACTACTACTACTACTACTACTACTACTACTACTACTACTACTACTACTACTACTACTACTACTACTACTACTACTACTACTACTACTACTACTACTACTACTACTACTACTACTACTACTACTACTACTACTACTACTACTACTACTACTACTACTACTACTACTACTACTACTACTACTACTACTACTACTACTACTACTACTACTACTACTACTACTACTACTACTACTACTACTACTACTACTACTACTACTACTACTACTACTACTACTACTACTACTACTACTACTACTACTACTACTACTACTACTACTACTACTACTACTACTACTACTACTACTACTACTACTACTACTACTACTACTACTACTACTACTACTACTACTACTACTACTACTACTACTACTACTACTACTACTACTACTACTACTACTACTACTACTACTACTACTACTACTACTACTACTACTACTACTACTACTACTACTACTACTACTACTACTACTACTACTACTACTACTACTACTACTACTACTACTACTACTACTACTACTACTACTACTACTACTACTTCTACTACTTCGGACTGAAGTCTTAACCCCAAAACAGAGGAAGTCTGCAGCTGGATTTATGCAGTGTACATTAAAATACTGATGTAATATAGTTTAAGATTTGCGTTAACGCCTATATCTCTATTTTGGTCTTTCCTCGTTGTCTCTTTCCAAGAGATCTTCGCACTAAAATCAGGCAAGATTTTTACACTTCACGCTTACATGCTACTTAACAACTTACATATTTTATTAATTACTCCAAGTTACGGCGAAAAGTACTATCATTACTACGTACAGTAATATATTTTTTATTGCTAGTGGGGTGGGACTAAGTCCTTTGTACTGCGGCCACTTCTGGCCTATTGTACCAGCCCCAGATGATAGGTGAGGGTGATCGTGGAGCAATTGGTGGAATGAAGATTTGCAGGGGAAACCGAAGTACTCGGAGAAAACCTGCCCCAGCGCCACTTTGTCCACCACAAATCCCACTTGACCAGACCCGGGNCAGTGGTACCTAATACTTCCCCCATCTACCGGAGGCATTGGAAACTACTTTGGGCGGGAAACTTTTTGCCAAATTTAGCTCAGAGGTCTCCTAGAGACACGAGGTTCTTTTACGTGCCGTAAATCTACGACACGGAAACCACGGCTTAAAGTCCCTCCCGGAGGACTTGTTCCCTGAATTTTTCCGCCCTTAAAAATTCCACGACCTCCGCCGGGTTTTAACCCGCGTGCCTTGAGTCATGAGGTGGAAACGTTACCCCTAGACTACTAAATTAAGTGAATTTATTTAAGTGTTTGACGTCAGTTATAAGCACGTTGACAGTCACGCGATGCAAAAAAGGAAATAATACATGTAATATTCCTAATAATATTTTGACCTAATATTGTTATGTACATACTTTATGCCTTCCTTTATTATTTGTAATATTTCATTTATACACCTGCTACGGAATACCCTTATGTTGAAATTTATTTCATGTTGATTCTGCAATTAATTCCAATCTACTTACATAAGTTTTAACCTGTTTTAGAAACTGTCTCTTCAGTACTCACGCATATGGTGCTGCAGTAGAATCTTGAATCTTCAGTGTTAATTTCATAGATACACTGTAAAAGAGGCAGGAATAACAGACGATAACAATGAAAAATAACACAACAAAATTTTCACTACAATATTAAGAACTGCAGCACGGCACAAAATTCCTTCCACTTAATGTCAGCAATGAACATTTGAAAGATCATTAGGCAAACACTTATCTAGAGAAATAAACCATTATTGACTTCTTCCTCTATTTTTTTTCCTTGGCACTACAGCCCCAGTGGACCTAGGCCTGCCTCCATGAACTTCTCCGTTCATTTCGGTTTTTCTAGATCTTACTCATTCAGTAGGACTCCTTGGGCGGGTTATCAGCTCGTCACAAGGCCTCTACCTGTAATCAAACACAGAAAAACGCACACACACAAATTAAACATCCACGCCCTGAGTGGGATTCGAACCCACGATCCCGGTTTCCAAGCGAGCGAAGACAGTACATGCCTTAGACCGCTCGGCTACAGTGACCGGCTCTCTTCCTCTATTAAGGATTTAAGTTTCATATCTGTCCTGGCATATTATTTTCGGCTCTACTTAATGTTACAATCTAAAGTTAATTGATTATTATATGATAATTCAGTACTCACTTTGTATATACTGTACCAATGAGAAACGTCAGCTGGTGTCAATAATACAATTTTTAAAATTGTATTCTTATTTCTTAATGCGTTAATTAACTTCTTACAAATTTAAATTACACATAAATTTATTTATTATAATATTTAATATGTTTCGGTATCCATTCACTTCTATACCATTCTTATACAAATAAACATTTTATTACCCCGTGTAAATCCGTTCTCAATGTATACTAAACACACATTGAACTTTCTACGCTCATGTGTGTGTCCTTACTTTTGTCAAATGTGTCCGCCCATGTTTCTCTGCATGCGATACATAACTTTATATGACACAAAATAATATTTTGCACAGTAAAATGTACACAAAATTAGTTCGGGTATTTTTCATATATATATAAATAAAAAATCAGAAATATATCTCAAAAGAAGGATAAATTAATTAATGACTCATTTTTAAGAATATCTCTGACCTTTTTGTTCCTGGCGAGGCTGAATTTCATACTTTTAAAAATATCATATATTTATTCGATTGAAAATTACATTTCGGACACTATTTGATATAACATCTCATTTCGTTAATAATTCTTTGATTAAATGAGTCATTTTTACAAGATATAAAAAACAGTATGAATAACAGACCTGGCGCCAGAGATTCCAACCGGTTATCTGCCATATAAGACAAATTCTCAAATATTGAGGCGAACGTCACGGTATAGTACCTACTTGTGCTATTTTAGCATCTAGAGTAGTATCTACTTCTGTTATTTTTAATATAAAGGCATGGTACAGTCTTCTGAACATCATGATAGGGGACCTACTTCTGTGTATAGTACCTACTTCCGGTAATGTTGTGGAAATCTCTTCAGACGTGTCGTTGGTTTCAAGTGTTGATATGTCCTCGTCCTCTTCAATCTGGAAGGTAAAACACACCGTTCCTATAACCGAATATATACTGCAAGAAATAAGCTCCTTGCTTTGATTAATAGGCCATTAATAATGCTACATCAGCTGTGGCATATTTTGCGCCGATAGTATTAACAATCAGATGAATGATTGAGAGATTTGTGGAATGATGATGAAATAGGCTCATTGGTTGATTCTTCGTGTCGTTGTTTCCTCAATTACCTAATTATTGTGAAATTTGTGTGTGATTTAAGAATTTTGAAGAGGATAGTATGTAGAATAAAGCGGTTGTGACATACTTAAAATTTGGCTCCTTTATTCTCCTGGAATCATGCAGAACCACGAAAGAACAAATTCACAATATCCGATTGTAGTTCTCTTCTCTTGTTCAAATTAGAATCTAGTAACTTCCTACTGAAGATGTAAGGATCTACCTCACTATCTAATGATGATGCATCCTCACAGATGTTTTATATAGAGCATAGCCCTCGCAAGTGCTTGGTATTTGCCTGTTTCTAAAAAAAAGAAACTATTAAATCGCTGCTTATCAGTGTGAAATTTCTTTCGTTGACAGACATTTCTTTGGTTTTAATTAGAACGCTTAATAAAATGTTCTAGTTTTCTGTTATGATACATTTATTCACTTCCTCGAAATGGAATAGATTTAATAGTGATGAGATGCTTGCCAAGCAACCTTTAAGAGATTATTTTAAAGACAAAAATTAAGCTTGTCTTTCTTTTTCATTCATAAATTCAAAAAAGAAAGAAGAAGAAACCCCCTAGGTCCTTCAGGAAATATAGCCCATTCGCAATTCCCTGGCTCACCTCTTATAGGTAAGCAGGACTTCACTGAAGGAAAAAATATTTTAGTGTTTATTTCTCTTTTATTGTCTTCAACACCTTCATGTTGCTAAGTAGGAAAAATTTAAATTCTTAATTAATCAAATTCATTATGCACAATACAAAGAATTACTATATGGCCTAAACATAAAAATATTTTAATCATATGAACGTAAAATAGACAAATATCAGATTACACTGGGATTAAATTTTTTTCGCTTAGTGGGGGGTGGAGTCTAACGGGGTCCACTCGACACGGCGGCCACTGATTGTCCTATTATAGCCAGCCCCGGGTGATTATGATGATGGAGAATTTGGTGGAATGAAGATTGGCAGGGGAAACCGAATTACTCGGAGAAAACCCGCCCCAGCGCCACTTTGTCCACCGCAAATCCCACTTCCCACACCCGGGATCGAACCCGGGTCGCCGCGGTGGGAAGCCAGCGACTAACCGCTCGAGCTATGGCGCGGCCTTACACTGGGATACTACACATATTCAGACATTCTAAAGGAATTAAAATATCTGAAATTGGCATGCATTTCAAAGCTACAGAACGGATTTAAAATTTGATTAGAGAGGTTAAGTATATGTTCATATGCTGAAGATATTATTTAAACAACTAGTTACAGTACATTTATGTTACAGGTCGTTATGTCTGAAATATATTTTAGTCTGCGTTCTCCACAGGTCTCTACCTTACAATTAGATCTATCTCTTAGAGGAGACACAACGTTCAGATATAATCTGAGATAGAAATCTGTGGTTATGCTATCATGGTCACTGAGATAAACAGATTTGGCCTCAAAGAGAGAATTGTGGTAAAGCTACAGTTAATGATGATTATAACAGTCTTGTGAGGTACTGTGACACAAAGTGAGCCTATTGTGCCAACCTCTGACGTTGAGAACGACAATGAACCTCACGGTTGAGGGATTAGCAGTGGTGGATCGTATTCTAAAGGTCCCTGGTTTAGATCTAGGTTCGGGGAACGGCATTACTAAATGAAGTTATTTGAGGTTTAGTTTCAGTTTCTCCAATATATTATTGGTATAGTGCCCTAAATTAGTCGATGATCGCTTCCTTGCATGTCAAGTCTGATTCCTAATCGAATAATCGCCTTCTGATTTGGTACTACGTGGTTTCAGCAATTGAAAGCGCTTTTAAATAACTCAAGAGTAATAAGGGTACATCCCCATCACAATGGTCCCCCAGTCTAACGTATGAAATGCCTTCGCCCTCTCTAACACTGTGATCGTGAGTTCGAATCTCACTCACGGCATGGATGTTTGTGCGCGTTTATCCTACCTTTATGTTAGGTAGCGGCCTTGCGACGGGCTGATCCACCGTCCAAAGGGTCCCACAGATTGTCTTATTTTAAGAAACTGAGGTGAAAGGAGCGTTTCACGGATGCCCTATGCACCAAGTTGGAACAACGGAATAGAAGAAGAAGAAGAAGAAGAAGAAGAATATGAGAATAGTGATAATCAGAATGTGTGGTGTTGGTGGGATATTTTATGGCAGGGGACAAACTTGGAGCTCCGAGAATGTCTTACATTATTTATAGCATGTCTGTACATGGACGTAAACAAAAGAAATGCGAAAGTTCAAGCTGTGTTGTCTTTATTATTCCTCCTCCTACTAGTAGTTAATTACGCGTAACTCGAATAATCGGTCTATACTTAACTAGGTCACGCCTCTCTACATCAATCTGTTAGATTTCAATTAACCTTTTAAAGGCTTAATTTCTTCTAAATAATATACACATTCAATTTGTACTTAGTATGAAATAGTACGCACGCGCTAAAAACTAAACCCGTTAATGCTCTTTAGGGAAAGCAGAGATGTCGGTTTTGAGACCCAAAGAAACAGGCAGAATGTAGAGTTAAACCAGGTGATACACAGACAGCCACTGGGTTTGAAAGGATTTATACAGTTCAATTACTCTAAGCATAAAAAGAAAACACAAAGGGGAATTTCAGACGTGGAACTGGAATGGGTTACTTCTCGACGACTTTCCAATTAAAATCTGATAATTTATAATTGTGAGCGGCAGTGTGTAGACAAACAAAACTGAAAACTCAACTTCCTTTCAACGCTGTGGTCAAATTTATTCTTAGAATTTGCAATTAACGCAGTGTTTAATATTAGCGTTTAAAAGCTCTTAATAATTTCAATAGCTCCAGCAATTTAGTTATTTGTTACCATACAGCAGAAAATATCACTTCAGTTCTTTCTTCACAAGAGGATGGATTCTAATTCTAATATTTTCTCCCCGTAGGAATTTGTACATTCCATTTTTAATAAGAGAAGGCTGTAACAGTAAAATATGTAATTGTGGGGAAATTTAATTATTTATAACTTGTTCACAGTCGGCAGAATTTTATGAAGAAAAAGTGGAATGTTCACAATAATTACAGTTATATTCCCTTGTGAGTCTTTTGTGCTTTTATGCTACGGAATGTCGAACACAGTGGCCACGTGATCTAGGGAATAAAATGTCTTCGCTCGCTCGAACACTGGGATCATGGGTTAGAATCCCACTCAGGGCATGGATGTCTGCGTTTCTTCTGTGTTTGTGTTAGATAGCGGCCTTGCGACGGGCCAATCGCCAGTCAGAGAAGTCCTACTGGCGTCCCGCGCTTGTTTTCAATTTATAATGACTTACCCAATTAGGAAAATGAAAAGTTTAATCACGAGAATCCGGTTTGCTAGAGACGCTTTATACGCATGTGCGTATGGGATCATGCGAAGACCAGGATGAACAACCTCTTAACTTGGCGTCCTGATAGACTATGTGAATCGTTAGTCCGTGCTCTGTCCAAATGCGCGTGGGTAGCGGAAAGAGAGCAAAGACCACAGGCGCTGCCTTAACGTGTTGTTGCGAGGATTCTGTTTGCATGGTTGTACCCACGTACACCCTTACTGTCGTGGCATGCACCTCGCCCCCTCCACCACAAAATACACGGCGGGTTTCGTCTGTTTTCTTGCGATAACCCTTAGAGACCTTTGCAGAATTTCTTTCTCTCATTGTGAGGGGAAGTTATGTGATGGATCCCTTAAATTCTCTCCTACTTCACCGTCAATTTCAGTCCGTAATTTCTAAGGGTTCCTTTGTCTTGTTAAATATATTCAGAGTTTCCAACGAGTAAGATCAACTGTCACATAAATTGATATTACAAAATATAATGTATTATTTCTAACTACTGTCACCTTTTATCTAAGGCACTACTTATCGAGCTCCTTATTAATTCGATTAGTTCTACTTTTAAACTGTCATATATATTTACTTAATTGTTTATTCGAAATCAAAGTTGGTTTTAGATTAAGCCGGAATATGGATATTAATATGTATTCCATTGCCTGAGTATAAACATGACGGTTACTGTAGAAATTTCTGTATTTAGGCAGCGGTAAGTTGTCTGAAATTTTGACAGCAATGGTCTGTCATTAGTCTTCTCAGAAGCAAAGCAAAGTGGACAAGCGCACAAATTGAATGTCTTCAAGGTGCCGAAATTCGATTAGTTTTGCAGCACATGAGAACTGGCCTAGTTATAAAAAAAACTTCATCATGATCATCATCATCATCATGATCATCATCGTCGTCGTTGTCGTCACAGAGGCTTGCTATTGGATTGCGTCTGGGACATGGTATATCCAGTTTATATGTATTTTTACGAATTGTAGTTTTCGGTTTTAACACTGATTGTCCCCTCAGATACGTTGACATCTATTGAGCTGTCTATTCCACAAAGATTTGTAACCAAAATTTTAGGCGACTTTGTTACCTACCATTATATTCTACATCTATAACACTGGGGACCATCTCTGTGGTCTAGTGTTCAGAGCTCCTGGCTACAGATCCAAAGGTTCCGGTTTCGAATCCCGACGCTACCAGATTTTCTGAGAAGTGGTGGGTCTGGAACAGGGTCCACTCAGCCTCGTGAAGATAACTGAGGAGCTACTTGAATGGGCAAGTAGCGGCTCCGGTCTAGAAAACCGAGATTGACGGCCGTGGGGAACAGTTGCACTGACCACGCGGCACTTTCTATCCGCTAAAGTTGGAACAAACTTTGCCGACAAGCTACGCTCGCTCGGTTGGTATAGTTCGCTTGCGGACTAAAGCCACGGAGTTATAACACTGGGACCGTACTTTCGAATCCCGTTTGGG